GTAGGGACTTTTCACAGATTTTTAGTTTCAAACCTCACCATCACCCCTTGCTTGTCAAGTTTTCTTATCGGCTGGCCTTTGGGTGGGGACATTCTGTGGTTATCTGTGCTTTCCAGGTGGCTACCCTGCTACTTTTGTCCCTAGCCATTTCTGAGAACTGGAATGTTTTATAGAAAATAGCTTACACAATACAAGATGGAGGCAGAGGACAAAATGGAGGAACTTTGGTTCTTCAGTTACCTTTCCTCGATCCTGCACAAATAACTTCCTCCAAGCCTTGCTGGTGAATGTCCCATGCCTCAGATTCTTTCCAGGAGTTCCTATCTCTCCCTGGAAGTCCCGCCTATCCTCTCCTGCCAAGCTATTGGCCAGTTGGTTCTTTATTAACCAATCAGAACGTGCCCTAGGCAAGAGAGGAAGGACACCGTGTACAAAAAGGTTACCCAACACTTAGTACACTCGCTGGTCTATAACTTTAGACACTTTCAGCAGCGCCCAGGAGTCCTTGCCAGCTGTTGTGACAGCACGACTACAGAACAAGAGGGCTACTGGGAACAGCTGGCTAGAGAAGCCGGAAAGCCTAACAGCCCTTTCCTCAGACAATGCCCATGTGGCTCCTAGGCCACTGACAGGGCTCACCTGGCCTTTGTAAGGCGGCTGGAGCTTCCTGTTGGGGATCCTATGGGCACCAGCTTACAGTTGCATGGATTGGCAGTGAGGGCAGTTCTGTGGCCCATGCTTCCTAGGACCTGATAACGACACTTGGCTGCCAGGCCTCAAAACCAAACCGAAACAAAACACGACTTCTCATTTTGTGTCCCTTGGCAGACTTCTGCCTATACGCAGGACAGCCCCAGGAGGAGGCAGGGAAATACTGACCAGTGCAACCTAAAGAGGGATGATAAAAGACAAGGAACTCAGGAAGAAACAAGAAAGGGTAAGGAAAAAGTTCTAGGACACTGACACCAGGGGCCCAATGTGGCAAAAAGCCTCTAAAGGCAGCATAGGGAGTAAAACAGACAACCTTCTGTAGTCCTCCCGAGAAACTACGGAGAGTCCTGCAGCCTGCACTGCAGCACACCTCCAGGGCTCGCAATAACTGCCGCCACAAGTTCAAGACGATGGAGAGCTGCAGGACCCCTTAGTGTTGAGTTACTCAGGAGATACCAGTTCGATACTTGAAAGTCGTGTAGTTTGGCTCTGGAGAACCGATTGTTTTCTTTTCTTTTTTTTTTTTTTAAATATTTATTTATTCATTATGTATACAATATTCTGTCTGTGTGTATGACTGCAGGCCAGAAGAGGGCAGCAGACCTCATTACAGATGGTTGTGAGCCACCACGTGGTTGCCGGGAATTGAACTCATGAGCCATCTCTCCAGCCCCCGATTGTTTTCTAATAATCCTCCTTCACGTTGGCTGTTTGGTCATCCCGACTTGGCGCTTGAATGTCGGTCTTCCAGACATGGGTCCACAACGCACCCCCAGACAAGCCATATACTTGCTGAGAGAAAGGGGTCTAAGTGCGACCATCGGATCCGGAGCAAACCTGGAAAACAACCAGGCGTGAAAACTTAGATGTCAAAGACGCACAGCAGCAATGCTGTCCTGCTTCCATTCACGAACTGCACAGCGCCATGCAGCCTGCACCCCAGAAAGTCCCAGAGTCCCGATCGCCTTCCGCCCAGTGCAAAGCGCCAGCCTTACCTACACCGGCTTTGCCACACATAGCAATGCAGGGTAAGCCCCATCCGGCGTACCTGGATCACTAACCAGGCAGGCTTCAGTCAGTCTCAACCACGCCCACCTGGTCTTACTCCGCCCTTAACAGAGGACGTCAGCCCGCGCTACGTGACATCATCGCTGCGCGCCGCGGCGCCTGCAGGAGAACTGGTGGTCACAGACAAAGGTCGATCATCGTGTACAGAGACACCGCATGGTTTCCCACGTTCTGAGTAAAGTTCTGCAGGGCGGGTCTACGAGGTCCCTCCAACGCTAAGGTGGCGGCCGCAGGTTGGAGTCTCTTGGGCGCTGGCAGCAACCGGCCCCATCACTGACGATTGAAAGGGAGGGGGACATACACCGTCGTGTGGGGCGAATAGAAAGGGGCTTCTCCACAGATGGCCCTGAGCCTTGTCGCCGTGGCTGGAGAGCAGGCGGTCCCGGACTTGGGACACTGACCAGCGGGATCGCTTCTTCCGAGGCAGTGGGAACCTCCAATTTTATGCACTCTCCCACTGGTTTAATCTTGCTGAGTGTTGGACACTCGACTTCCCACCTGCCTAGACTACTTTGGGAGTTTCTGGCATTGGAGAAAGTTAGCACGAACTTCTTTTCCTGTCTGTAATCAGACTTTATAATAATCTGATAAGCGTCCTGTCATAACCGTATTATTATGAAAACTAAAACGATGTTAATAAGAAAGAACCAAGCACCACACACACACCGCACAGGGTGAGGCTCTGACTCCATAACCTTCAGAAATGGGTGGGCGTTGGTCTTCCTGAAACGAACTCAGTCTTTGGAGGATAGGACGCTGGTAGCAACTTTTATGAAAAGCCCCCACAAGCTGTTCTAATCTGAGGCCGGAGAGCTGGTAGGATAGACTGGCAAGTGACACCGTGCTCTCACGCCTGACCATTCGCGGAGAACTCAAACCACGGATCGAAGATAACTTTTTAAATAGAGTCTCCACTGAACATAGGGTTTCCCTGGAAACAAAATCACTTAATAACTGTTATATGGTTTGTGTATATGCTCAGGTTGCTTGCTTCAGTTTTTTGAGACAGTCTCGACACAGTCTGACCTTTAACTCCCTGTGTAACAGGATAATCTTGAACTCCTGATCCTCCTGCCTCTGTCTCCAGAGTGTTGGAAATGCATGTAGTCCACACCTGGCTTTGTATTCTTTTAGGTATTCTAAGTGATTTAAGGCACAGGGGAACCAGTGACAGGTCATATGCAAATACTGCGCCATTGTACAGCAAAGTGCTGACAGTGCGTCAGTGTATCTGTAGGGAACTCCGGGACCAATGAACGCGGAGCTACAGTAGATGTGCTGCCAGAGGTGCACCTGGCTCTGACGTAGCTCCAGGCAAGGATTTTAGAACAATAATCAAGTGGAAAAATCAGGGTTTTTTTTTCCCTTGCCTAACAGATCCTATATCTGGGCCAGTGACTGTTTCCTCCTGCCACCACAGCTCCAAGGAAAAACAATGCCTTTGGGCAGCCTGCTTGGGAAAGCATGGAATTCCAGTCCCCTCAGGTACGTCCCTGTCCTCGGTGCTAGGAGGCTTGTGCCCTGAGCCACCCACTGTAGACAGCTTCAATGATGCTAATTGCTCAGCAGAGGCCCCTCTCAATGTGAATCTACAATATTCACTGATTGCTGGGCAGTTCTCTGTCCTATCCTGACAGTGGCTGGCTGGCTGGGTACTCGGTGCCATCTGGCTCAGCACCACCCATCAACCAATGTTTGCACGTCTTGTCTGTAGCCTGCTGAGGCACTGTGCCGTGAGGGCAGCCACTCCTGCACCCTGCCACCTACACACCTCCTCGTGGAGAGCTGACAGCAGCAGGGCCTCACTCACTCGACTACGCCGCCAGGCCTATGCTCGCCTCTACCCTGTGCTACTGGTCAAGCAGGACGGTTCCACCATCCATATCCGATACCGGGAGCCACGGCGCATGCTAGCGGTAAGCGTCCTTCAGTAGGTGTTTGCTGAGCCATAGTGTTGGGGCTCAGTGCCCGAACTTGGAACTGAGGTTGCATACATAGCTAAAGTGGAGGAGGAGGAGAACAGGTTGTTGGAGGAATTTACACCAAAAACTCCAATCATCAAAATTAGAACAAACAAATGAGTCATTTCTTGTTTGGGTTTTGTTCTTGTTTTATTTGTACAGGGTCTTATGAAAACCAGGTTGGCTTTGAACTTACATACTGAGGCTGACCTTGACCTCCAATCTTCCTGCCTCTTTAAATGCTTAAATTATAGGCCTGTTGGCCGGTAGGTGGTGGCGCACACCTTTAATCCCAGCACTCGGGAGGCAGAGGCAGGCGGATCTCTGTGAGTTCGAGGCCAGCCTGGTCTGGTAGAGCTAGTTCCAGGACAGGAACCAAAAAGCTACAGAGAAACCCTGTCTCGAAAATCAAAAAAAAAAAAAAAAAAAAAAAAAAAACAATCAACAGGGTTGGAGAAGATAGCTCAGAGGTTAAGAGCATGGCTGCTCCTCCAGAGATCCTGAGTTCAATTCCTAGCAACCACATGGTGGCTCACAACCATCTCTAATGAAATCTGGTGCCCTCTTCTGGCCTGCAGACAGAGCACTGTGTAAATAATAAATAAATCTAAAAAACAAACAAACAAACAAAAGCCAAACAACAAAACCCACCAAATCGGGGCTGGAGTGGAGTGTATCATAGTTGGTAGAGTGCTTGCCTAAGAGGCATAAAGCCTTTGGTTCCAGGACCACATAAACCAGGCATGGTGGTACAGAGCTGCTGCAGCACTCTGGGGGCTGAGGATGGTTGCTGTGAGTCTGATGCTCTTTTGTACAAATTAAAACTCTGTCTTAAACAAACATACACTAAACCTAGGGGAAAGGAGTAGAAAAACATTTCCCTTCCAAACAGGAGTTACAGATTTGACTAACCAATTAGTAGGCCAGCACAGGATAGAAGGCACAGCCGTGTAAAAGAGGTCCAGGTGTCTTCCCGGTCACTTTCCTGACTCTCCCCAATAGCGAGTACATGCCTTCACTTCTCCCCATGCAGATGCCCCTAGACCTGGATGCCCTATCTCCAGAAGAGCGCCGGGCCCGGTTCCGAAGACGTGAGGCTCAGCTCCTGCAGAAGAAGGAAGAAGAGCCAGAGATGATTGACAGTTTTGACACTGAACGATACAAACGGTTTTGGACCAAGACCAAGAAGTAACTATGTCAGGGCGTTATATCAGAGACATTTTGTAAGGATGGGAGGCATCTGTCTGTAAATCATACCTTCTTGAAACCATAGCCTCCTGTCACTGTCTTCTGTGTGTAAGTCCCGCCCTGAAGTTCATCATTTTGGGAAAGTATGTGCCAGCTCAAAGCCAGATTGAAAGGCCCTGGAGTTAGAACGGATTAGTCAGTTTAGAATCCATTTTGTCAGACCTGTGAATTTTTTATTTGTGTTTTTGGGTTTTGTTTTTTTAAGACAAAGTTTCACCCTGATTGGTCTATAACTCCTACGTAGACCAGGCCTGACACTGCCTCCTGAGTACTGGGATTAAAGGTATATGCCATCACACTTAGCTTCAAACCTCTGGGTTTTAAACACGGTTAAAAGGTTAGCTGTGAAGTATATGGACAGTGGACAGGAAGCTCTACCTGCCTACCCCTAGGAACCTCCAAGTTTAACTCGTAGATCACACGTGGTCTGCAGTGATTATCCTCAGCCCCAGCCTTTATAGGTCCTTCCCTGAAAGGCTTCCCAGGGAGAAACACTTTCCTGCCCTTGGGTACCCAGGAATGTGGCCAAGCTGTGTGTCTTTGTTTCTGAGGCAGGCTTTCTCTTTGTATCTGGCTGTCTTGGAACTTCCTCTGTAGACCAGGCTGGCCTCACACTCAGAGATCCATCTGCCTCTTCCTCCTGGATTAAAGAAGTGTGCCACCGGGGCTGGAGAGATGGCTCAGTGGTTAAGAGCACTGGCTGCTCTTCCAGAGGTCCTGAGTTCAATTCCCAGCAACTACATGGTGGCTCACAACCATCTGTAATGAGATCTGGCGCCCTCTTCTGGCATGCGGGCATACATGGAGGCAGAATGTTGTATACATAATAAATAAATAAATAAAATCTTTAAAAAAAAAAAAAAGTGTGCCACCACCACTGGCCAGGCTGTGTCTTGAACCCCTAGTCTACTCCAGTCTGCAGAATATAGGTTTTTATAAAAAAAAGCCTATAGCTGTTTATAAACAGCTGCTTGAACCTTTGTACATCTTAATGATGATGTAAAATTCCATTGGCTGCCTCCAGATGCAAGAGTGCACATAGTACCTAACTTCAAGAAAAGCAGGCCTGTGACCATCCAGCCTTTCACGGCTGTAGTCAGTTGCTTCAGATTCCGGTTCTCACAGGAATAGGTGGTTACTCAAGGCTGCACAGGCTTGGAACTGGTCTGGACACTTGTCCCATAGCCATGTTCCTCTTAGCTTCACCTAGTATGCATTCTGTGCTCAGACAGTGCAACTCAGCCTTCTATGTCCTTGGCATACTTGGTCAGCAGTGAGGGCCTCAGAAGCTTCTATCTTGCTTTCTGAAGAGCTTCTCTGGGAGATGACTGGTTTCCTCTTCTTTCACTGTGGCCCACATGTCTGTCAGCTGCTCCCTTATTGTGCAGCTCCCCTTAGGTCCATCCATGCCATCCATCCAGTCCTTGTGTGATCCTGTTCTGAGGGATCTGGTTCCAATTGTGTCCTCCAAAGCCAGGACATGAACTCGGGGCTTGTACTAGTTGCTTCACAAACTGTTTGTAGGTACTCACCATGTATTCAGAATAAAGACACGAGCAAAAATGGGGCTGTCCAGGTCTCTCTGGGATGCCAGAGAGTACCAGGTTATGTTGAGGCAGGGCCTTGCTAAATTGCCCAGACTACCTTTCAAATCTCTTTGTAAGCTTAGGCAGCCCTTGAACTTCCAGACTTCCTGCTTTACCTTTCTAGGGAACTGGGATTACACTCTCACCACCACGCCTAGCTCAGATGGGGTACTTTCATTAACAGGGTGGGATACACTCTATGGTATGTGTGTGTTCAGAGGACAAATTGTGGGAGTTGGTTCTCTCCACCATGTGGATCCTGGGGATCAAACTTGTTCACCAGGCTTGGCCCATACCCTCTAAGCCATCTTACCAGCCCTGGGTACTTTATAAATAGTAATTCTCACAGCTGCAGATTTTATACATGTGTTGTCTTGTAGAATATGTGAAGTTTCTCCAAAAGCGGTGACAAAGGAGTTCTCACAAGGGACTGATCCAACTGCTCTCTAGATAGATCCCTAAAGAAATACTAGGGTGAGCAGTGTGGTGGCCACACCTTTAATCCCAGCACTTGGGAGGCAGAGGCAGGTGGATCTCTGTGAGGCCAGCAGGGATACACAGTTAAACCTTATCTCAAAAACAAACTGGAAAGCCGGGCGGTGGTGGCGCACGCCTTTAATCCCAGCACTTGGGAGGCAGAGGCAGGCGGATCTCTGTGAGTTCGAGACCAGCCTGGTCTACAAGAGCTAGTTCCAGGACAGGCTCCAAAACCACAGAGAAACCCTGACTCGAAAAAAACCAAAAAAAAAAAAAAAAAAAAACAAACTGGAAGACATTAGCCAAGTTGCCTCTCCTGATTAATACTGGAAGAACTGGAAACCAGGGGGCAAGGCTTGCTTTTTTTCCCACCTCCTTTGATAACAAGAGTTACAAATTTGCAGCTTGGAGGAGCCTGCTTCACAGGCCAGTATGTTCAAGGCTATCGAAATCACAACAATGATTGTCTTCAGAAGAATATCCGAGGTATAGGAACATCATTTACCTTGTTCTGTAGAAGCTGAGGAAGGGCCTAGGCATTTCTGTGTTCCTTTCCACATTTGTTGACATTCCAAATTCCCTTTTTGAGAAATAACAACATGGGATGTTTCCATCTTCATGTCAAATTCATTGTATCCTCACTTAACCTTATTAAAACCCCAACACAAACAAAAGAACCTCACCACCCTTAAGTCATCCAGATGCCAGCACTATTGAGTTCAGACAAAGGATCTGTTCTGGGTTCTCGACAGTCGACATCTCATTTTATACTCGAGTGACAGAAAACAAGAGAGTTCTCCAGGGCTCCCTTCATATGAGCACTAGTCTGTGAGGCTCTATCTCGTTACCTCAATGGCCTATCCTTCAGGAACAAGCCTAGTGGATGATTTAAACATGACAATGGGAGCTGGGTGATGGTGGCACACGCCTTTAATACCAGCACCAGGGAGGCAGAGGCAGGTGGATCTCTGATTTCGAGACCAACTTGTAAGGGTGTAGTTTGCCACACAGTCTATTACGGGCAGTTAGGGCTGACACTATAATACAGAATAATTCATCATTTAAGCTTTAGTCCAGACATCGATTTGATCGTTCATTGTCTGCCAGTTTCAACTAATGATTTAGGGTCAAATGACAGCTAAATCTATCTTCAACGAACTTTAGTTACTCTTGACTTTTGTCTTGGTCATGCCCCATCAAAACATAATGCAATTAGCTCTGTTCTTCGTACTTCTCAGTAAAGTCTCACCATCAGAGAACACAGGTTGCTCTGGTTTAGGGCTGATTGCTTGGACTTTATGGCCTTTAACTTGTTCATGCCACAGAGGAGTTGATTTGTGTTTCTTTGGCGACTTTATCCGTCCCTCAGTGTTCCCGGGAGTTTTGCCACTATTTCACTTGCCACTTTCATTTTACCTGGGATCCCAGTCCTTTAGGGTTAGTACGCCTGGCTCTCCAGGAGGAGGAAAGGCTCCAAGCACAAGACCCGCGGCGCCCGTCCCCGGTCCCTCCTGGTGTCACCAAGGTTTGTTGACATCCCAATTCACCGAAGATCGACGTGTGAGGTCGCACAGCAGCCCTTTTTTCGAGAAGCTAGTGCGCAGCTGCACGTCGTAATGGGATAAAGGATGTGCCTATGGGTGAAGTACTAACACCGGGTGGAAAGACGGACCTCCTCTCAGGCGGTCCGAATCAAGCAGTGCGCAGGCGCGCGGACTTAGTGAGAGGCGCAGGCGCACGTGTGACGTCACGGCGGGCATCCGGGGGCCGAGGGGTGCGGGAGTCCGGCAGCTCGGGGCTGCGGGTACTGGAGATTGTGCAGTGGCTCCGACGCCATGTTCGGCTCCAGTCGCGGCGGCGTGCGTGGCGGGCAGGACCAGTTCAACTGGGAGGATGTGAAGACCGACAAGCAGAGGGAGAACTACCTAGGCAACTCTCTGATGGCGCCAGTGGGCCGCTGGCAGAAGGGCCGCGACCTCACCTGGTACGCGAAGGACCGCGCGCCGTGTGCCGGCCCGAGCCGTGAGGAAGAGCTGGCGGCTGTGCGTGAGGCGGAGCGCGAGGCGCTGCTAGCCGCACTGTGAGTGCCTGGGCTGCGGGGCGACTGCGAGCTCCGGGGAGGGATCTGGGAGGCCCCGGGGCGGGGCTAGATGTGGGCAGGGCAGGGGCGGAAGGCCACAGGGGCGCTTGCCCCTTGACGTGCACCCTCGACCCTCGCAGAGGTTACAAGAACGTGAGGAAACAGCCCACCGGCCTGAGCAAGGAGGTGAGTCTGGGCTGCGGGTTCGGGGTCCGCAGGGCGGGCGGGGCTCCATCTGTACCTGCCTAGAACTCCACCCCCTCCGCCTGGTTTCCTCAGGACTTCGTGGAGATCTGCAAACGGGAAGGAGGTGACCCTGAAGAGAAGGGCGTGGACCGGCTGCTGGGTCTGGGCAGTGCCAGGTGCGGCGGGTTGGGGAAAAGGGGGCAAGACTGGGCGGTGGTCCAGAACTGTCCTCACCGCTCTGTCTTCTGCAGTGGCTCCGCAGGCCGTGTGGCACTATCCCGGGAAGACAAAGAGGCTGCCAAGCTTGGGCTGTCAGTGTTCACGGTAAACCCTGTAAATCCCAATGCTCAGGATCCTGGGTTTTGGGGTGTCTGGGGAGGTGTGGGGTGGGACTCCCTGGGTGCTGGGTGTCCCTCCCCACAGCTGCGCTTCTCATATAGCACCACCGCGTGGACAGCGAAGGCCCAAGCACCGCCCCATCTGCTGCCAGGAAGAAGCCTCGTGCTGAGGACAAGGCTCAACTGGAGTGAGTCTGAGTGCCTGTCCTACCTGTGTTATGCACTGATGAATTTCTTGCTGGCATCCTATGTGAGCTGTGCCGAGTGTGGGTATGGGGACACTTCAGAAACAGCGTACTCACAGAAGAGAATGATGTCCAGACCCATAGGTGTCGTACTGGGAGGCTGAGCACTGGGTCTTTTTTTGAAGGAGCCAAGCACAGCCTTAGTTCTTTTGGCTTTACTGAAATTGTTGGGCCTCCACCTCCAGGCTGGATATGCCTGTCCATTAAGATGCCCGGGAACCTGAAAGTGGGATGGAGTTTCAGTAGCTGCCATTGGTGACCCAACAGGCAGCTGCCACTTAGACAGGGCCCTGATGCCAGCCAGTTTGATGGAAGGTGGAGCAGTTAAAGTGTGATGCTAGGAGTGGTGGTGTTTTTCTTCAATCCTAGCACTTGGTGGACGGAGAGGCAGGCTGACCTCTGAGAGTTCCCGCCAGCTGGCTTCCAGGCCTTGGGATTTAGCTGTGTGTGACTGTCTGGTTACTTCTACTTTTGTGACAACTCAACTTTGTACTTATGTAAAATAGAGAGTTCCAGATCAGACAAGGCTTTATAGTGAGAAGCTGGCTCTCCCCAAGGGGGGGGGGTGGGCTAGGTTGGCAACATTCCAAAGGGAAGCTTAGCCTTGTGGATTGGATGAGGAGCCTAATATTAGGCTCACTTACCAATATAAACTCAGAACATGTAGACATTATCAGTGTACAGTGCTATGGTACAGACCCTGCGCTATCCTATCCTTGCCTTGCCCTGCCCTCAGCTTTCAGCTGCTACACTCCAGTTCTTCACACTTAGACCCTTTATGTTCTTTCTTACAGTACAGAGAGCCATAAGAAAAGCAAGAAAGAAAAAAAGAAAAAGAAGAAGAAACACAAGAAACACAAGAAGAAGAAAGACAAAGAACACAAAAGGGAGACTGACAGCTGCTCATCTTCTCCCTCTCCTGCTCGGTAGGCTAGGCCCAACTCTATTGGGGGGGGGGGGTACTAAGGAAGTGGGGGGAGAGAGCTGGCCAGGCCTGTTGGGATCCTTGGCAGAGTGAGAGACGCTTCAAGTGTCTGGTTGTCCTTGTCTTCCTAGGCCCAGACACCAGAGACATGATTCTGACATCTCCCCCTGCTCTAAGAGGAAGCGGGGACATAGCCAGGACAGTGGAAGGAGCCCATCTCGCAGACGACAAGACAGAGGCTCTGATGACTGAGAATTGGCTAGACCAAAGGACACCAGAGCCCTGGTTGCCCTGAGCTGGGACCCTGCCCATCACCAAGCTCTGTGGGGTCTATAAAGAGTAGTCGTTGGATGCTAAGTGGCTACCAGCCCCCTTCCTACTTGCCCAAACTAACCAAGTCACATCCCTATCTGGGATAAGGCAGGTGGCTACTCCCTGGTAGGATTCTGAGCCAAGCTTGCTGGACCTTGGGATATCTATCTTGCCTTTTGGAGGCAGCTTGTGGCAACAACTCCAGGTTGCTGAGGAGTAGGTCCTGGGTGACCAGAGCCTAGTGATTCTGAGGGTAGTGCCCTTGCTTGCCCTCATGCCAAGGAAGATATAATTGCCCAGTAGACTAAGGTCAGACTCCTGTCTCTGCTGCCACAGTCCAGGCTCTTGAGGTTTAGGGGTGTGTCTGTGTGTACATCTGGTTACTTCTACTTTTTGTATCAACCCACTTTGTACATAAGTAAATGTATTTTAAAAGTAGAGTGTATCATCTCACTGAGGGCAGGCAGGTTAGGCTGGGAGCCTGTGGCCCCAGCATGGGGTATCCATCCAGTATACCTGAGGACACTGGGTCTAGGAACCAGAATCCTATGTTTGAGGCTGCCTTAAGACCATACAAATGGCCAAGAAGTTAGAAGAACAAACTTGTGGATATGAATGCATCTGCTGTCTGTCCAACAAGTACAATCTTGCTGGGAGAGTTCCTGCAGCAGGTTTGATTCCAGAGTATCAGCACCTAGCTTTAATCTGCCTTTCGTCTCTGGTACCTTCATCTGAAATATGTAAATTTTGTCTGAGAGTTTATTTCTGCAGGAACTCCCCCAACACAGTTTGGTTCCTACCTAAGCAGAAAGTGTTCAGCAGACAAATAACAGCAATTTTAGAGCCTGTGTGAACATATGGGCAGACAGTAGAAATTGGGCTGAATCTATATAGCAAGTTGTTCTTTTCTGACTGTAAAGCTATACTGGGTGTGTGTACTGTTGGGCTGACCTCAAAGTGTTCTGAGACTCAAGCTGTGGCTTGTATGTTGACCTGTATCCTGCAGGTGGCCACCTAAGCACGAGTGAAGATTAGTTATCTAAAATACCACTCAAAGGGGGCGAAGGTCTGTCCACTTAGGCAGAGGGCCCATTCATGATGGTAGACTTTGGATCTCCTAGTAGCCACACCCACCCAGAGATATGTACCACACCAAGACTGGCTGCCTACTAAAGGGACAGGAGGCACACCTCAGTTGTCACAAGCATGGAGGCTGGTAGTGACCCTGAGATGTGAGGGGAGCCAAGGCATCCAGGTCTCACTGACTTCTACCATGATTCAGAGAGTACCTGCTTTCTCTGGCATTAAAAGGGCTCTCTTAGGAGGCAGCCTGGCAGTGGTGACACTGACACACAAGCCCATCAAATAGTTAAGAGACTTTATTCTAATAGCTATAATTACAGTGCTTGTCGAAATGAAAACTGAAAACAAGTATACAAAACAGTTGATTACTAATTGTGTATTGAAAGCAGTAAGAGGTTCCACAACACCAAATAAACCAGTTCTGAGATTTCCCCAAGATAAATTTAACAGCTCCAGCTTCTTCAGTGTTTATCAAAATACAAAAGAAAAAAGTAGAGGTCGTCTTTCGATGGCAAATCGGACCCTTGCAGGCTGAGGGAGAAAGCTACTTCACACATGGAGATGGGGGTGCTCCAGGATGTGGGTCTGGAATGGATCGACCCTCCCAGCTTGCACGCGCTCCTGCTGGTGAGACCCAGGCCTCCTGCCAGCGCGTCCAAGTGGGCCCAAGAGTAAGCTGGGTATGTAGACTGCCACCTGGCCCGGCCACACACCAAATACAAGCCGGGCCCTGCACCCCACAATGGCTCCCAGCCCACCCCTAGGTGACCACGTGAGCACAAGTACAAGCACAATGCTATGGAATGCAGGTGACCCAAAGACAGGCGAGTCACGGGGGCTCTACTGTGACCATGCAGCGGATGGTGGTTTGTCCACCTTCTCTTCTGTTTCCACAGGGGAACAGGTGATCCAGTGGACTAGCATTCAGGCCATTACTGCAAAACCTACACTAGGCATAGTCTCCGTTCTGTGTGTTCAAGTGTTCTTGTCCTGTATTTTTTTTTTAAACTATTTTAAAAAATGCACTGAGTTTGGGTAAAAACCAACCACCAAATGGATACTGACACCAGTCTACAGCCCAATGGCTCCCGGAGGCCAGGTGCCCCTACACCCAAATCCCTTCTCAGTACTGACAGTGAGTTGATTCTCTTTTTACAATAAAAAAGCTAAGTAATATTGCATAGGAGTACCAGAAACTGCCTCAGTGGAAACAGAAACTATTTACATTAAATAAAAACCTGGCTGCAGGCTGCGTCTGCACATGTACAGCACGGTGCGATGCACACTGTGACCAACCCATGGAGACAGCTTCTGGCACTCAGGACCACAGAGTCGCACGTTTGCCACATGAGAGGAAAGCGGAGGGCGGAGAAGAGGAAGTGAGGGGGAGGGAGGGGTCTGGTTCACTTCTGGTTCCGGAGCTGATTGGACAGCCAGTCTAGTCCTTCATAGAGCCCGTCCCCGCTGGTGGCACAGGTGGCCTGAATGTACCAGTTCCTGTGGCGTAGAGAGTGCAGCCCCAGCTTGTCTGTGATTTCGGCCGCATTCATGGCATTGGGAAGGTCCTGAGGGAAAGGAGGAATTAGTGGCAGGGACTCACAACAGCCAGTCACCCAGGGCAGCCTCTCACCCACCCTCTCTCTTCCCTGACACAGGCTCTCCATCAGGGAAGGAACTTGCTGGTGCCTACCTGCTTATTGGCAAACACCAAGAGAACGGCATCCCGGAGCTCATCTTCAGCTAGCATCCTCATGAGCTCTTCACGGGCCTCATTCACACGCTCTCTGTCATTGCTGTCCACTACGAAGATCAAGCCTGCAACACAGCTACATTACTGCACATACCAAACACCCCCTCACCTGATCCACCCACAGGCCAGGGATCCAGTCTTCCCACTGGCCATGATACTTAGTGTGGCACTATGCCCTGAGACTGGCAAGGCCATGAGGCTCAGTGAACAAGTGCATCCCTTTGAGGCAAACAAGAGGAATCCAGGAAAAGAAATGGCCCCTCACCTTGGGTGTTCTGGAAGTAGTGGCGCCACAGTGGCCGGATCTTGTCCTGGCCGCCCACATCCCACACAGTGAAGCTGATATTCTTGTACTCAACTGTCTCCACGTTGAAACCTGAGGGCAAGGTTATAGCTGAGTGCCCTCTGTATTCCAGAACCCCAAACCCAACCCCCACCCTGGTCCTGGCCCAACTTCTCACCAATGGTAGGAATGGTGGTCACAATTTCACCCAGCTTCAGTTTGTATAGAATTGTTGTCTTCCCTGCAGCATCCAGGCCCACCATGAGAATGCGCATTTCTTTTTTGCCAAAAAGGCCCTTGAAGAGGTTTGCAAAGATATTCCCCATGCTTGTGGACAGGTGGAAGCAATACTGGCCAGAGACCTGAGGAAGCAAGTTGTTACAGTCCTGTTATGTGCTGCCAGTTTAGGCCCTGGGGCAGGACAGAGACACACCTACCCAGGAGTCCCACACCCCACAGCTTCTCCCATCATCCCTCCTGAGAAATCTCATGGGGGAGGGGAGACAATTCAATCTCAGGTGGCAGAAAAAGAACTTTGTCCACCAGATAGATGTCCTAGGTCATCTAAAGGCCATATACTAGCCTAGGAAGGCACAGACAGCAGAACAATCCCTTGTTTCCCAAGTCTGTTCACCTATCCGAACATCTAACTAGAGCTGTGCACACTCACACTTGGGAGCTGGCATGCTTGCTCTCCAAAAAGAGTGTTTTGAGAGACACACGAGGCCTCTTACAGCCTAACAGAGTTCTTGACAAGATCGGAAAGAACCACCTTAAATCTCTATCTTACTTCAAAGTGTCAAAAGTACTACAAATTACTAGAGAGCTGGTCACATTCTAGGCTCAATACTACAGGCTGTATATTTCATCACCCCTTAGTGACAGCAGGACAAGCCCAGAAAGACTGTGGTGTCATTCAGGTCATGGGAGACAGTTATTAAGGCAATGTTCTATCCATCTCAAACAGCCGAAGAAGGTAGAGACTGAAACAGTAAAATGATGCAAAACATTCCTTTGAAGACCTATACAAAAGGATGCTCCTATGAGGACAGGCAAATGTGAGAATGTGTTGCTGCAAGGGCATGTATACATTCAGTAGGGCCCACTGGCAAAAAATAAACACTAGGGGTGCCAATCAAGTAAGCTGGCACCAATTTACCAGAGCCTATCAGATGTTAAGGGCTTTTGCAAAGGATAGTAAGGCTTCCAGGGCTTATCATCTTATCATCTGGTGGCCACTTTTATTCTTCACTTGTTTTTCATTCAAATGTATTTTACTGCTTACTTAAACGCTGATTGTTAGCTCCTAATAGTAAAAGCAAATAGAAGGCCAAGGAGCCTTCAGAAAGAGATATGTTTATGGACTATCCAAGGCTGCTAACCACAAGAGAATGAACAAGCATGGTGTAAGATAGGATGACAACACTTCTCTATATATTGTCCCTCTGTGCTACTATAACAGAACACCACAAGCTGAGTAACTTAGTAACAACTTATGAGCTGGACATCTTAAATCATGGTCTGGCAAGTTAAATGTTTGGCTCTAAGATATAGCCTTCAGCTGTATACGCCAGAGAGGAACGGCATGGGTCTTATATGGTAAAGTGAATGTGAACCTATTTTCAAAGCCCATTTCATTACAGTCCTTATCCATTCTTGGGGATGGAACTTTAAGAACCAAACACCTGCCCAACAGAGAGGTTCAATTTCCTATATATGAACTTCAGGGTATATTAAAAATGAAGGCTTCCGCCGGGTGGTAATGGTGCACACCTTTAATCCCAGCACTCGGGAAGCAGAAGCAAGTGGATCTCTGTAAATTCGAGGCCAGCCTGGTTTACAAGAACTAGTTCCAGGACAGGTTCCAAAGCTACAGAAAACCCTGTCTTGAAAAACCAAAAAGAAAAGAGAAAAAAAAGGCTCCCAGAAAAAATTAAAAAAATATATAAACACATAAGACACAAGAAGATGGCTGTAATTAAAATACTTGGGAGGCAGAGGCAGGAGGACAGAAAGTACGAGGCTAGAACATCTAGTGAGATTGTCAAAGAAAAAAAAAGAAGAAAAATCTGGGCATGTTGAGTCACGCCTGTAATCCCAGCACTAGGCTGAAAAGCTGGCAGATTTCAAGTTTGATGCCCGCCTGAACTAGTGTGAGACCTTGCTTTACAAAAACTAAAAAAATGAAACTGATGGCCAAGAAGAGAGAGGGTTTGGGGGGACAGGAAGACAAGATGGGAGAGGAGAGTGGAAGGAAATGAGAAGAAAAGACAGATGGACAGGACAGATTGACAAAACTACATAGAGAAGATTCTTAGCTAGGCAGGAGGAACACATGCCCTAAGAGCTGAGGCCTGCTGCCAAAACACTCTGGCAATGCAGTATTGGTGGGAGGACAATTCTTAGGCAATACTCTTTAAAAATTCTGAGATTATGGCTCTTGACCTTTAACTGCTATCAATTACAGATAGGGAAGAATAACTAATTTCAACATGGCAAAGCGTCCCCTGAGAATTCAAACCAGGCAGAAGGAAATGAGCCCAAGATGAATTAAGAAGAGAGTCACTAGTTGTCATAGAGCAGGGAGCACATCACTTAGCTGTTTCTATCAGGAGGTCTGGTGATGTTGGGAAATTGGGAGAGCGAACAAGTACAGGCAAAAATCTAAGGAGGCAACACACAATTTAAGCAAAAAAGCCCTACAGAAGCAGATGGCTATCTATTTGTCCATGCAAAAAATTCCACCTTCGGGCTGGAGAGATGGCTCAGCAGTTAAGAGTATTGCCTGCTCTTCCAAAGGTCCTGAGTTCAATTCCCAGCATCCATATGGTGGCTCATAACCATCTATAATGAGGTCTGGTGCCCTCTTCTGGCCTTCAGGCATACATGCAGAAAGAATATTGTATACATAATAAATATTTTTTTTTAAAAAACTTAAAAAAATTTCCACCTTCTAGCCAGATGGTGGTGGTGCACGCCTCTAATTCCAGCTGAGACAGGCAGACCTCTGTAAGTTCAAGGCCAGCCTGGTATACAAAGTGAGTTCCAGGACAACCAGAACTGTTAGAAAGAGAAACCCCACCTCAAACAACAATCACAAAAAAATTCCACCTTCCTTCCAAATCACAAGTGATTATCAATGGACAAACAGTGGTGCCCAGGGTGTGCATGGGAGGCTGGTGAGGCAGAGGGAGTATATAAGACAGTTCTTTATGTTCAGGTGCTATGTAGAAACCAATAGTATCTGCTATATGTGAT